TAAATAGGTTATTTATAATCACAAAGAGAAAGGTAGCTGCATCAACATGCCCCTATAGTAACGCTTATATTTTTATGTTATTTTATTTTCTCATTGTTTGTGGTTTTTGTGCACAATACCGGCAGATTTCTATAAGGGTTAAGTAGGTTATTTATCATCATAAAGAGAAAGGTAGCTACATCAACATGCCTCTATAGTAACGCTTAGATTTTTTATGTGAATTTATTTTCTCAATGTTATGGTTTTTGTCCACAGCACTAGATTTCCATAAGCAAACAAAGCCAAGAGTTAGACATCCAAAGCCTTGGTCTATATCTTTTAGAAAGCCACTTGAGAGATACCCAACCCATCGCTACAAAACGCTAATCAATATGCCATTCTTAATTTTCTTTCATTCGCTCTTAATTTCCCTAATATTTACACCAGACCATTCTCAATTTCCCTTCATTCTCTCTTAATTTACCTAATATTTACATATATAAAATAAACATTTATAGGAAAACTTTTTGCAAACGTTCTTTAGGTAATGAATTACATGATTAGTGAACGAACTAGAGATTCGTTATGAAACCATAGATTCTAATCATTGTGTAATGGGTTATGTTTGGTAAAAAAATTATTAGTAATTATAATATTTTAATTTTTTATCTCAAAGGTAGGAATATTATCTAAAAAAATTGTATTAGTAATTTTCTTATAGTATAATAAATATAAATCATATATAATAATATAATATTATTATATATAATATATTTAATACAATAAATATATATACATATATATATACATACATATATATATATATATTAACAATGTAAATATGAATATATAATATATATAAAATATAATATAATATATGTATATATTATATATAATATAAATAAATATATATCATATATAATAATAATATACTATTATATATAATGCATTTAATATAATAAATATATTATTTATAATAATATAATATAAATCCTATATATGATATATATTTGTTAAAATAAATAAATATTATATTTATATATTGTATATAATATAATATAAGATGTTTATATATAATAATGAATAATATAATAAATATTATAAATATTATATATAATATAATAGATATAATAATTTATAATATTATATATAATATAATAAATATAATATTATATAATAATACTTTGTTGGAAGATTACTTTATGAACTTTTTTCTTTTAAACTTTCAAACTTTTTCTCCAAGTAAAAAAATCCACGAGATATTTGATACCCTAATATATGTCTTAATATATGAACGACAAAAACAGGTTAGGGAGAAAAATTAGTATGTTTTTTCCCTTTTTTAAAAAATATTTGATATGAAATTATCAATAGAGATGAAAACATTAGAGATAAAACATCTCCCATCGTTCGACCTTGCTTATTTTGTTGGCAAGTGTCCTTTTTACAAATTTTATTTTTTATTTATGAGATAAGTATCTAAACACCTCTTTTTATGTTCTCTCACTCTCTCTCCATATTTAAACCACATTTCATATGCATGCAATTTTTTATAGCTTAACTCTCTCTCCATCTTTAAAACCCTATTAGATAAGCATGCAATTTTTTTTGGATGATCATAGATTAGATGTATATGCAAGTTCTTATTTTTATGGCATCTCTCTTTTCACATTTACAATATAGCCTCTATCTCTTTCTTTTTTAGCTGCCCTGGCCGTTTTCTCTCTCTCTTTCTATGTGGTATCTCTCCTTTATCTTTCAACTTGGTTTTTCTCTCTGTCAACTTGGGCTTTCTCTCCACATTTAAAATCTTGTTAGATATCCATGTAAATTTTTTGAAGAATGATGAAAATCATATTACATGTAAACTTTTTGAAAAATGAGCCTTCATTAGAAAACCGTATTAAATATTATCCAAACCGCAAGAGTTGCCAATGGTAATCATTGAGAGTATTAAAACAAAGTAATTTCTTAATGAGTTAGAGTTTTTCTATTTTTTTGCCTTTTAAATATGAATCAACTTTTTGGTGTGAAAAAGTCGTGATTTTCTATAGTTATGGCAAATATTTTGACTTTTTTTTTTTTTTAGATTTACATATCATCATTTCAAAAATTTAAATATAATTTTATGAACTATTATGTATCCATAATCAAGCCGACTCCAATTAATTGGAAAAAAGCTAACATGACGATGATGATCTATAAATAACCAAAATGAATTTTTACTATGATTATCATAAATTTTAGAATATTAGAAAATTCTTTACCACAAAGCAAAAATTCAACTTTGTATCTTTCAAGAATTTTTTAATAAATCTATATTATACAGTGTGAAGTTTAAAATTTATCAAGATTCATGATTAATTTTTCTATTTTACTAAAGACTTTTAAATTATCAAAAAGCAATTTTATGTATCCTCATATTTCATGACTACATGTAACGCATGTAATCCAACTAATTTTTGTGAAGGGCAAGGGAGAAATTATCCACTTTTGAAAAGCAAGGAAGTACTCATGAATAGTTGGATAGCACCAAAATTTTATGATTCAAGAGTTCTCAGTACTTAAGAATTGGAAGAAATGGTACTTCCAAACTGGTGCTAGGATCCCTAGTTCTGTACATTACTGCATTATTTTGGCTTTTCCCAATAGACCAAGGACCAAAAGGCAAATGGAATAGAAATGTTCGAAATGGTACCAATGTAATTGTCGTCTTTATATTTCCCTTTTCTCCAATTAATACAGGGGTGCAGTTGGCATACGGACGCCTCCATAGGTATAGAGGTAAGGTGCCTTTCAAATTTTATCATGGTATATAATTTTTATGTAAAATGTTATTTGGATTATCTCAAAATCTATTTTTATATCTAATTATAAAATTTTAAATTTTAAAATAGTTAAAATCAAGTAGATATGTAAACATATGAAAATCTTGAAAATGGATGGTGTAGATAATATGTTGTAAAATACAATATTTATGCGACTTAAAATCTTTTTATTTTTCATAGCCATACATCTTGACATCGAGATGATCAATCGAAGGATTTTTCAACATTAAAACTGCCTTTTTCGATGGATTTTTGAAGGGCATCCACAGTTCTACATTATAAGGTATCATCCTTATATAAATATTTTCCTTAATTAATATGGCTGGGGACCCTCTCAAATCCCTTAGTGGAAAAATATCTTGGACTCTCCAATCCCATTGATGGCTTTGAAAACCTAACCTCGCAAATATAGCCGAAAAATATCTTGGACTCTCCTATCCCATTGACAGCTTCAAAAACCTAACCATTTAAAAAATGGGCAGGAGTTGTATTTCCCGCTTAATTACGAAACAAGCACTTAAGAAGCGGCATGAATTTGGAATTTGAACTAACAAATAGACCAACAAGGGTGAGACGCAAGATAAATTAGATTTTTGAGTTGTGATGAATCTCAACCCGTCGTTCACCCACATATCTTTGTCATTTGCTAGATCGGTGATCCAGATCAAGTCGGAATCAGTGATCTAGGAAATATGTTCAAACATACATAAAATAAAATAAAATTGAAATAGGGATTTATGTGGTGGTGATTCAGGAGAGCCTTAAGAAATCATTAAACAATCTTGAAAAAATATATAAGGGGGTTTTAGAGGAGAATTGTACTAGGACCCATATCATTTCAGAACCGCTTCGGTTATGACTGATTCCCATTATGGTCATGATCCGAAAAAAAAAGGTTGTTGGATGTTAAAACATTGATCTCAACTCTAAAAAAAGAAAAAGAAAAAAAAAAAAATGAACAAAAGGTTTTCCTCAACTTAAAAAATAAAAAAGAAAAAAGAAAAAAGAAAAGAGGCTCTCCTCGAATTTTAGAAAGTGTTTGCCGTGACTTTATTAAATGCGTCGTCTCCATTAGCCGATTTCGTAATCCGAAATCTTGAACCAAAATTTCGGTTGGGTTGAAAGTCTACAAAATAAGAAAACCAGGTGAGGCAAAATCACGCCGAAATATCAAACCGAGATTCGGGGCCAGGGAGCCTCCGAGCATAGCAAAAGAGCCTAGCGAAATGGTGGAGTGTACGTGCTTTTGCTGTGCAAAAAGCAAGGGTCAAGTGCTCCCTCGAGACCATATAACTGAAAAATTATTGGACTACGATTAGACATTGACAATTAATTTTCTGGATAATGGAAGGAGGGTTTAAGAACTCAAACTTTATTTTTCTTTTGAAAATAACTATGTCGTTATTTTAAAGTATATCCCAATAACTTAAATAAGGAAGCCCTATTTCACAAAAAAACATGTCAATGCCTCGCAAGAACATGAGTATTACATTTTAAATGTATATCATCTAGAGAATACGAGTATATATCATTTAGAGAAAGAGGGGTTACATATTAGGCCATAGCAAAGTATTTGTAAAGTTAGATACAGGTTAGTAACCAGTTTTTAAGGTGTGTTTGATACCTGGAGATTTCGTGAGTAAAAATAAAAGTTAGTAACCAGATTTTAGGGTGTGTTTGATACCTAGAGATTTCGTGAGTAAGAGTCTCCTATCGATTCTGGAAGACTGCCTTTCTATCATTTTTTATGGAAGGGAAGTGTTAAAAAGCCGGACCCTTTTTGATATTAAAAAAATATTGAATGGAAGACTACGCTTCTATGCGGTGGCTTCCACACATAGAAATGAATTATGGAAGTGGTACGTTCAACTACCACTTCCCAAAACATCTTGAAATCAAACACACCTTTAAAATTTTGGGGCTCTTGGCACAATCCCATCCTCCCCAAATTAATATTTAAAATAAAATTCTGAATTGTTAGCTACCACGCACATGTGGGGTATATCATGATAAGTAGTGTCTTATAGTAATAAAATAAAATAAATAGTGTCTGCGCATGTGCCAAATACTGTGGAACGTATATCCGTTACGTAGCTTCAATTCCTTTGCCCGAGGGAGTAATTGTACAGTATTATGCCGCTGGAGTACATACACTCTAAAGTAATCTGTTCCCGAAATAATCTGCTAAAAATAAGTAGCAAGAGGAAGAGGGATGTGATATCCAAGTCCCAACGTTTTTGCAGAGACAAAAGTGGAAGGAAAAAAAACCCTAGCCCTAACCGAAATGGGGGAGCCTGGTCCTGGTACAAGAGCAGGGGGTGGCTCGGCTGCTGATTCATACATCGGAAGCTTGATAAGCTTGACTTCAAAGTCTGAGATACGATATGAGGGCATATTATTCAGCATCAACACTGAAGAATCCAGCATTGCCTTAAGGAACGGTATGATTTTCGTTCAGTTTCCACTTTTCCCATGGCTTATGGCTTTGATTCTTTATTTTTTGAACAATTTTATTCAGATTTCTGGTATCATTCATGCGCTTGAAAACGAATCTGATAGAATCGATTTTTTTTGCTCACTCTGTGGCCGCAGTTTTTGCATAAACTGGGATTCTGGATTTTTTATGTAATTTTAATATGGCTATGTTGACATGCGTGGGCTTGTCCATGTATTGGAGAGGAAAGGGATGATTTTAGTGGTCTTAGTTAGGGTTTTTAACTTGATGATATGGGATTTCAATTTGTCGTTGAAGTTCATGTTGTTGGTTTGAGTTAGGGTTGTGTGAGTTTTCAATTAATTTGTTGTCGACCATTGTGTCTAATATAATCCTGGAGAATGTTTTGTAGTTGATAATTGTTTACTAGACCTTTGGAAGTCAAGTATGTGTTTTTCTCTGAGGAAATGATTAATGTTTGTTTGATCTCAGTTAGGGTTTTTAACTTCATGATATGGGATTTCAATTTGTTTTTGAAATTGATAATGTTTGGTTTGACCTAGGGTTTGGATTTGATGGTGTGGGATTTCCAAAATTTTTGATGCGGACCAATGTTACTAATGTAGACCTGGAGAGATGTTTGTAGTTTGTAACTGATCACTAGAGCTTAATGAAGTCCAAATGTGGGATTTTTCTCTCGTGTTGCACACCTAATACATCATAAACCATGTTATACCCTGCGAGTGAAATGCTTATAGGAGAAATATCCCATATCCAAAAATGGTTGGAAAACTGCATGATTTCTATCTTAAATCATATGGACGGAATGCATCACGATGTTCGAAGTTGTGGCCACTTTCTCTTGCTTGTAAGAAAAAACATAATATGATAATGGTAATCTAGTATGATCTCATCATTAAATTTCCATTGATTAGCTTCATAGCGGCCACCTAAAAAGAAAAAATATCATTTTAATGCATTAGGCTTTTGGGATTTGAGCCTCCAGCTAGTAAGAAGGCAATTGTTGCTGCAATTTTGAGGTTGTGGGTTAGAATCCAGGTTGTATATCAAAAGTTCAAAAAGAAATCGTGGAGTAGTGTAAGTTTTTTATCCGATGTTTTTGGAGTTCTGAAGTGGCTACATGGCTTGTCATCCAGTGAATCACAGGTGGAGCATGGAGACTAAAATGCAGGTTTCAGCTTCATTATTATATTATCCATTGCATATTGGTAATAGATTTTTGTAATATGGCAACCATTTTATTTTGTGTGATAAAGCTTAGTACTAGATTACAATAATAGGAAAACCATTTGATTTTATGTATCTATATGATTGCATAAAGGGTGTGCTTTAGGTGCATCTCGGGACTTACCTTTTTGAGGCAGAAATTTGCAGACGCTTGTGCTATGTTTCGAGTCCTAATTCAGTTGATAACCGGTATGGACTCATGCGTCGTGTCCTAGGATGCATGAAAAACGTTTTTTAGTGAGGTAGCTGAAAATATGTGCTGATTGAGAGTGCAGACCAATGTATGGAAAAAGTAACTAAGAGTGGAGGTGATGTACAAGACGAGAGTTCCAAGATACTTAAGCATGCTATGATCTATTAGAGGCATAAGTCTAAGGTCCAACATGATGGGAATGCATTGTCCAAGTGTTGCATGTAACGGTATCCATTGGCCTTGATATCTTAGGGGTTTACCCCATTGGCTTCTGTATTGATAACCAAGTAAACCATAAATGTCTGTTTGGATGGACCACTTACTTCAAATAAGTCATCACAGTTCAGTCTTTGAAAGTGGAAAAGCAGGGGTTTGGTCTGCTTCCACTATTTCAGAGTAAGCTCTTTTCTTTGGCCAGTGGTCTGTCATTGCTATTGCTGACTTTAAATCTATAAAAAGCTCTTTTCGCCTAATCTAAAGTAAAATAGTGCATTCGACACTTGATCAAATACATACACTGTCCTTAACTTACACCATGCATCTATCTTATATCTGTTGATAGTGGAGATTCTTCAACCTCCCACAGTTTTCTTCATTGCCCTTAGATCGTCGTTCACATGGTTGCAAATTAAATGTCTCATTTTATTTTCTGAAAAATTTAAAGTTGTATATCTCTTTTAATGGTAGTGTCTTGTAAGAAAAAGGGGCTCTTGTCTAGCTATTTTAAAATTAATGTTCACTCGTCTCTTTTTTTTTTCTTCTTTTCCTTTTTTTAATGTTCACTCGTCTCTTTGAAAACATGGTTTTTGCTTTGTTTTGTTTGATATCACATATCACTTATGAGTATATATCGTTTGTTGGTAATAATGGATGCCTTATGACTGTATTTTGCTGACTGTCTGTTCTTTCTTTATGCAGTTAGATCATTTGGAACTGAAGGAAGAAAGAAAGATGGTCCCCAGATCCCCCCAATTGACAAGGTTTATGAGTACATCCTCTTCCGAGGAAGTGACATCAAGGTAGGTAAATATAGCGATATAGCTTGGTGTGCAAGCTGAGCTTTTCAGCTCTTCCTCTCAATTTTGGTGAAGTGGTTGTCTCCACACTCATACATGCAAATGCTCACATGGTATGTTATGGTTAGAACCAAAATGATGGGTTACAAACACCTTCATCCTCTATTATATTTGTCTTATTAGCAAGGCTAAGTTTGGTTTGTCTTATTAGCAAGGCTAAGTTTGGTTTGTCTTACTAGCAAGGCTAAGTTTGGTGATTTAATACTTTTGCTGTGGAAACTTGCATGAAGAGACATGGGCTTATGCAAGGTGGTGTCACGACAAAATGACCTAGGAAGGACTATGTTCTTACACAAATGCCCTTGTCTATTCAATGTGAATTCAATTTCACTTCCATGTTGACTTGGAACGTCAACATCTCCTTATATTTGCAAGTTTCATGCCATTATTGACCTAATCACCCAGGAGAAATATCACTTGCGCTTCTACCAGATGTGAAGTGGACAATTGAACCACAGAACAGTTTTTCCCCAAAAAAAAAAAAATTGAACCACAAAACAAAAGCATCTTCTAAAGGATAAAGGTTGTTCTTGTAAATTGGGACTCACAACCTATCCTTAGTTCGGCCTATTGATTCTGGTTGTTGTCATGTGTCAATAGCTTATGTGATACTGGTCTTGTTATGATGGATCTTGAACTTTTTTTGGCTTTGCATTTTCCATTCCAGGATTTACAGGTGAAATCTTCACCACCTGTCCAGACATCACAGATACATAACGATCCTGCTATTATCCAGGTAAATATGAAGTTACGGTTGTTATCATTTGGAACTATAAAGCAAGCTGAGCGATGAAATTGTGACATTTTTCTCTGACATCTTTTCCAAATGCTGGTGCAGTCCCACTATTCTCATCCAACTTCTGTCCCCACGAGCTTGGCTTCTGCCGGAAGCGGGACATCCACCGATCCCAGCTCACAAGGGTCACATTTGAACCTCCCTAGTAGGTCGACATTTCAAGGTGCTCTTCCTTTGTATCAGCCTGGAGGAGGCCCGGGATCATGGGGTACTTCTCCTGCCCCTCCAAATGCAAATGGTTCAGGCCTTCCTATGCCCATGTATTGGCATGGCCATGGATATTATGGACCTTCAAGTGGACTCCCCCATCTACAGCAAATACAACAGCCACCTTCTATGCCTTTCCGACCACCTCCTGGCTTGCCCATTCCTCAAAGCATGCAACAACAGTTGCAACATCCGGGCTTCCCTTCGTCCTTGCCTACAGGGTCACCCAGCTTGCCTGAACAAACAAGTTCTAGTGCTCCATTAAGTGCCATTGCCACTGATTTGCTTGCTACTTCAGCTCCCTCTCAACTTACTTCGTTAGCGTCTGAAATACCGACTGGCTTATTGTTGAACAAGGCTCCTCTTACCTCTCTTCCTCCTCCTACCTCGACTACTAGTTTGCCATTAATTTCTTCAGTGAGTACCTCTGTTCATGAAATAAGTGCCATGGTGACGCCCATGTCCAGCAAGCCAAGGACAGTTCCAGTATCATCCTTTCCCTATCAGTCCATTTCTCAGCCTACGTCCTCTGTGATGGGGTCATCATCGACATTGGGGCGCTCAGAAACATCAGCGACATCCTCCTTGGTAACTGGTGGCCCACTGTTACAAAATGGGCCCGCTGTATCTTCATCGACTAAGCAATCATTGGTGGGGCAGAAAGATGTGGATGTTGCTGCACCACCATCCTCTGAATCAGTGGTTGATGTCCAAACGCCAATATTGCCCCTACCTACGCCGTCAGATCAAAAGGTTGACTTTTTTTTTTTGGATTACATTTTCTCTATAACAGCAAACTTCATCACTTCTATAAAGTGCATTAGGGAAACTATTGTCCCTTTGATATTGTTTGATTCAGAGACTGTGATGAAGTCTAATAATATTTTTGATGCAATATTAATAGATTTTTAAAGAGTTCTTTATTGAGTGTACTTTTGTTCTTCATTCTGGGTCTTTTTTCTCTAAACTACTTCAATGTAGCTTTTTTATTATATTATGTGGTTTAGCTGAGCTCCATGAATACCTAAAGGGATCTCGCGTATATCAAACTTCTTTGAGGATTTTGTCCATTGAATTTCATGTTTGTGTAGCTCTATGAATATGTATGAGAAGAGTTTTTGAGCCAAGGCTTATTTATTTTGAATTTCCTATGCTCTTTGCTTAGACGCCTAGGTGAAAATCAAAGTCTAAGGGCATGCTAGGGTAGATCAATCAACACTTCTAATTTTATTTTCTGAACGTGCTTGGTTGGGAACTTTTGCACAATGTTTTTGTCTTTGTCCCTTTTTTGACCCTGCTTGTTTTAAAAGCCCTGCATTTAAGCTCTTAAATCTGTTTAACCCAACTCAGAAAAAAATGTGCCGCTTTCAGTCGCATTTAATACTAGTCAATAATACACTTACAGGGGCAATGCAAACAATCGCTCCTAATAATATTTCTTCTGCTTATTCTAAAAAGGAAAAATATTTCTTTTACTTCATATTAAGTGAATTTAATTATACTTGAATGCTCTAGTTTAATTTCCCGATTTAGATGGTCAAGGGTCTTGGCGTGTTTCTCACCTGCAAACAGTTCTCACTCCAAAATCTCTCTTAAACTGTCAAATGAACAGAGTATCTTGATTACAAATCATTCCCATAAAATTTCATGACAACTTTTCTATTCCTATATATGTTGGCCAATAATATTTTATTAGAAATGTGAAATTATATCTGGAACTTGGTGAGTACTAAATATCCTATTATATATTCTCCAGATTAATGGAGCATTTGGAGTTCCTCGACCAAGCAATAGGGGCCGTGAGAGAGGCAGGGGACATGGGGTAATATGCTTTCCTGTTTGTATTTTCCATCCTTTGGGTATGTCATTGAGAATGAGTGATGCGGGCTCTTTAGCGTTACTTTTTTGGAATATAAAGTTCATTGACGGTTCCTAGACTATTGGTCATGATAGTAAAACATAGTAAAAGAACATATGTAGTCTACAAACATGCTTACAGACACATTTCTGGGTTATATTAACTACAAATTTAAGAGCCATCCATATTAATTCTTTCCTTCTCTGTTGCCTTAGAAGTAATTTCAATGCTCAGTATTGATTTGGTTCATGGAGAACTAAGCCAAAAAAGCTACTAAAAATGCTAAAATTAGCATCTAGGAATAAAGTGGTTTGAAATTCATCTGATAATGTAGTGGGTTAGGGACAATGACTTGTTTACCCTTCATGGGATGGAGAAAGATTGGTGACACCAAAATATGGACAAGGCCAAGGATTAGGTTCGAGACTGAAGGGAGAAGCTAGGGATGGGCCAATACGAAAGATAGGATCCTTAGATAGAAAGAGAGATTTAGGATAGAGATAGAGCAAGGAAGTGAAATCTTCTGATTTGAAACGAATATGTTTTGAGTCAAGGAGCCGAAGAATAAGAATTGCATTTGTTCTCTTACAAAATAGCCGGTGAAGATTCCTCTTTGTTCCCTACTATTTATAGCCCTCTCGCTCCACCCACTGGTGCAACCCAGACTGCCAAAACCAGATAACTGGGGAGAGAGATCCCATAGAGGTTGAAAAGTTACTAAATTTGGCAATGATTTCATACCAAGGAGCTGGAAGGAGAGATTTGGATATGATTTCTATCAAGGAATGGGGAGGGATGGAGGAGAGACTAAACTTGTAGACAATTTTACTTGAGGAAAAGGGCGATTAGAATGATGAGGAGAGAACCCTCCACAGGTTTTAAATGTTTTAAACAGGTCAGTAAATTTGGAGAGTATTTCAGTAAAGAAGAGAGGGGGGAAGGGAGGGAGGCACATTTTTCTATATGCTCAATTTTGGAGGGTGAAAGGGTCATTTTTCTATTGACCTCAAAAAAAGAAGAAAGGGTCATTTTTCTTGAGCACACAACACACGTGGTTATTAGATGTGTGACATGCGAAGTTTGTTTCTAAAATATCTTAGATGCTAATTTTAGCTTCTCTGATTGCTTAGTTGCTTAATTCTGCTTTTGGTTTATTTAAGGCATGTTTGTGGTGGCGTATAAATCTCCGTGCTGAATTGCTATACTCGGCATACCTCTAAAACTATGCTCAATTTTTGAGGGTGGAGATGGTAGTTTTTCTTAAGCACACAACACACGTGGCTATTAGATGCGCCACATGTGAAATTTGTTCCTATAAATATCCTATATGCTAATTTTAGTGTCTTTGATTGCTTATTTCCTTTATTCCGCTTATTTTATTGGAGTCATGTTTGCATGAGGCATACCAGTCGCTGTGCTGAACCACTATTCTCGGCATACATGTAAAATACCTTTTCAGTAGTTTTCCACTTATGCTGGAAAGGGGTAAGTGTGCTGAGATGCCATGGATACGGGCCCTGCACCAAACACCCCTTTATGTATTGTGCCATCTGTGACTTAAATGCCACTGATCATGTCCTTTATTGATCCCATGAATATAACGAATTATTGCATAAATATTGCTCTTAATATTCAAGCAACAGAACTAACACCATTCCATCTTCATTTCCTCTATAACATTCTATCGGAGTTTATGAGTTGAAAGATTAATATCACATATAGGTAAAAAAATCTTTAAAAAAAACCTTGTATATGTAAATTTCTATTATAGGACTGCCTGTGATATAATATTTGCTTGTGTCACGTATGGAAGATGAAGATTTCGAGTTGAGTAGGGAGGACTTGAAAAGTCGACTTAATGAGAGCCCAAGTCAGTATGCTGTGACTTCACTGATTTGTTTGAATGCAGAGTCGATTGATTCTTCCATGTCTTGACTGTTTCCTTCAATTGAATTGTGTGCATGAAATTAACTGGCTGCCTTCAACATATCGTTTGGCGGGAAGTAGGAATCTACTCCCTGGGTTTGTATGTCCCTATAATGTTCAAATAACCTCTGCTCCTTTGGCACCTACCATCCAACTCCTTAAACCAGAACCCCAAAAAATCTGAGGTTTTCCTCGTTGTATTCCATAACTATATCTCCATTAAGATATATAATCTAGGCCATACCTCCCTTGAGGTTACCCTTGGTTGCTGTTTTCGACAAGAAACAAAAAATGATGGAGAACTGGTAGAAGATTTGTTTTGTTTGTCTTGAGATTTGTTGATGTTGTTCTGTTTCTTGGATAGTTGTTAATTTATGGTGAATATTTGTTTACATGAATATTAAAAGTAGTCTTATTGTGGGGGTTTTAAGAACTTTACTAACTGGTAAACAACTGGTATGTGAGAGGAGCAAATGTGAACGGTATGATTTTTGGTGGATATGAGTGTAGATCCATGGGGAGCAAAGGATAAGGCGCTATCAATAGTTGGAATGGGCAAGAACATTTGTTAGGGGAGGGGAGAATGTGAGCCCGGATGTCACTGGTAAAATGTTGTAAGGTGTATGTGGTAGAAGAGGTGGATGGGATTGGTGGTTTAGCATTGAGGAAGGGAGGATCATAGGGTTCTGAAATGGGTACTCACCTCTTTTCAGTCTCAATTGAGTGTGATTTGTGTTGAAGCCAAAACTCACTGCATTGATGCTAACTGGTCTTTATCTCACTGCAGGAAATTTTTAAGTTCTATTTTTCTCTCTTAGGTGTTCACAGTCGGAGACTTGATCTTCCTGTCTTTCATGTTTTGCCCTCATTAGCCTTTTATTAGAATGGAAATGGGTGCATGGCTTGATGATTTGGGCATTGAGAACTGCAGCACCATGTCCTTGATTGGAATCCCACCGCTGATCAAACAAAAAGAAAGTGCCTTCTATTAGAAAAGTAATCAAAATCACTTATTGGTTTAAGTCAGCCAGGCAACGATATTAGTTGATTTCACAAACGTTTACAATATAGCAAATTTGAGCTATAGAACAGCGTTAAAGATCATACTGCTTGTTAGTAATATTAGAAAATTATGTAAATGTAGATCGGCCTATTGCCCATACTGTTATGGGATATCTTTATATAGCCTTGGTGATTACTGACTTCAGATATGTTGCTACAAAGGGTCTGCTTTGCAGATGTAGTTCATTGAGAACTTCCATTGATGGACACTTCTTTGCCATTTTAACGAGGATACAAGTAGCAAACATTTTCGTGTGGTTAGTCTTGCTACACCACTCTAGGACGAATGTTATTAGGTAAATTTGTGGGATATGTTGAACCTGGTAAACATGGATTCCTTGATTTGAAGGGTTAATAAGCTGTGCCATTTTTGTTTGTGGGACATATTGAATCTGGTAAACATGGATTCCTTGGTTTGAAGGGTAAATTTAAACTGTGACATTTTGTAGCATTTGAATGTTTTTAGGTTCACTAGGTTTTGTTTTCTTTAAATCTCTCTCTCTCTCATCACTCATACACATGCACATGTGATTCTCTCTCTCTCTCTCTAATCGATCACACACATGCACGTGATTGCAAATCCTAGGTAATTTTCGTATTTTCCCACTTAGATCTTCTCTATCTTGCTAAGTACCAATACTTCAGCACCTTAAGTGGTGGCGAGATAAATTTTGGACGATTGATCTGATGACTGGTAATTTTTGTTTCTTGCTTTTCTTGGATTTTGCAGAATATGCATCGCCCTGTTACCCGCTTCACTGAAGAATTCGATTTCATAGCCATGAATGAGAAGTTTAAGAAAGATGAAGTTTGGGGCCATCTTGGCAAAAATAAGTTACAGTCAAAGGACAAAGAAGATGATGAGAAAGACGATGATGAAGTTGATGGAAGCGACGATGATGAAGATTATGGACAAGCATCAAAACTGGAGATTAAGGTTGCTCTTTCCTCAGTGTTCTTGCATATGTATAAACCTTCTTTGTAATTTTCATGCATAATACCTCGTCTTCAAAAACTATGAGTAGATATCTTAATGTGGCCATTCTTTTGTTCTTACTTTTGCATTAGCCTGCATTTTTAAGGTATAGAATGGTACTTTTTATATCCACTTCCCAGGGCACCTTTGGAAAGTTCAGTGGCGGTAATCCAGGTTAATTCCCATCCTACCCTCCCAAAAGACAATGCCTGTGCCTGCCAACTCAATGACCCTGGTAATTTTTCTTTTGCAGCCTGTTTATGTCAAGGATGACTTTTTTGATTCTCTATCATGCAATGCTATTGATCGTGGTTCACATAATGGGAGGACCAAGTTCTCTGAGCAAATGAAGATCGACACAGAGGTCTGTTGTCCTCGTCCTCATACTTTGGTCAATTACCCTTGTGCCACGCTATTGGGGGGGGGGGAGGGAGAGAGAGAGAGAGAGTTTCCTCAATACTAATATTGCACGTGATTCTGCAGACTTTTGGCAATTTCCCTCGGTTCCGTGGTGGTCGTGGTGCTGGACGGCGTGGGAGTCCTCGCGGTTCTCATTATGGGGGAAGAGGGGGATATGGGTATGGAGGTCGTGGTCGTGGTCGTGGTTATGCTGCACTTAACCAGCACATGTGATTGTGTGTAGAGGTATGGTGTTTCCTAGTGGTGTTTGAGGTTAAAAATGCTTGCATTTAAGACTGGAACATTTTGAGATTGTAGTGATAATAAGCAAAAGCCATAGACACATGGGAGTCTAGTAGGATTGAAAAAATAACCCTCTGTACTTGCCTTATCTCAGAAGATATTATGTAAGTGAGATGGAAGCTCTGTTTTTTCAGAATGAGCCTTCTGTCTATAGTTTGGCTCTACAGTAAGTTTGTTGGAAGGGTTTGTATATACAGGTTGTTATGCCAGTTGGGGGTGAGCTATTGAAAGTTTGTGGTTCTTTTTGCTAACCCTATGGGTATATAAAGTAAAAGTGTTTTGATTTAAAATGTTTTGGTTTGTTTGGGTAGAGAGAGAGAGAGAGAGAGAGAGAGATAAACCTTTGCATTAAGCATCACAGCTCTCTTTGTATTATTAGGTAGATCTGCTTGGCTGAAAACAATTATATTCACGAAAACAGTTTATGTAAGGTTGCGGCCTTAAAATGTAGAATTAAGGTGTAACTCCAAAATCCATGAGAAAAGGTTGTTTTGATGTTGGAAAACCCTTTAATTGATTATCTCAATATCAAGATGTATGAATATTGAAAAAAAATATGTTTGAGTCTAAAAAAAATAGTGTTTCTTTTTTCAGACTCAACATATTTTGGATAAAATTAGATATGAAAATGGATGGTTAATTAGATAAAAAAATTTATTTAGAATAAAAAAAAAAAAAAAGATAAAAAAAACTAGATAAAATGAATTTGGATCATCTAATTTTCAAGAATTTCATGTATTTACCGATCTGCATGATTTGAACCATTTTTAGTGTTTGAAGTTTTATAATTAGATATGAAAATGGATGGTTAGGCTACTAAGATTTTTTTATACCACAATTACATCTTATGATAAAATTTGGAGGCACGCCTTGATGAAAGTGTTGTGGTTCTACTTTGATGAAAGGATTGTTGTTTTATTTATTTGAAATGGTCTTATATATGCATAAACACATATTATGGCATTTTCAATGGAGCAAAAAAACTGGTCATAGGAGACTTTTACAATTTCAAGCAGGAGCATATAATTTAGAAAAGGGATTGTTTGCTATGTGACATATTTACCTGTGATACCAGGAGGTTACAACTACCTATAGTCATGTCCGACATTTTAGGTGCATCACAAATTTTGAAAAGAATTTCTTTTGTACGTTTTGAGTTTGATCAATAGAATAAAAGTAGCCATTATATTTTTGCACACGCAATGATGAAGATTATTTGTGAAGGTTAATATTTGTATAAAGCAGGTCAAGGTATGTGTAAAGCATTAAAGAGAATCTTTAGAAAGAAATGGATCCAATTCTTCCAAACTTTATCTTTTGATTTATACAACAAATCAAAATGTTTTTTAAATAAATTTTAATCAAAATGCTTTTTTAAGTAAATAAGTTTTAGGGATAAGTGTTTAGACTTAGAGAGAGAAAATATGAGAGAGTCAATTGGAGAAAATGTTTGCATTGATAATTTATCCAAAAGATTGGGAAAATGTGACATTGATAATTTATCCGAAATCAGTTTTTTATTCGGGAAAGTTTAGGTATGGCATCAATAGGCGATAAGATGAGAGAGTAGATTTAAATGGGTTGGTCATGTGTGGCATTGATCCAGTATAACACATGTTAGGATGTGAGTTAGTTCAAGTGGAATAATTGAAAATGATAAAAAGTAGGTTCAAATGGATGTGGTTGGAAGTAGTTCTAAAAGATGGGGATTTATGGTCTCATCGAGGGGTATGATATTAAATAAAACAAAATGGTGAATCATGATTTGTGTAGTCGATCTTAATTAATTGAAGAAAAAACTCTGATAATGATTGAGAAAAACTCTAATGAATTGAAAAAAAGCTGTGCTGATAGCGGTGATGATTGCAAAAAAAAAAAGCGAAAAAGGTTCTTGATTTGCTCTTGCTGAATCCATAATGCCTGCCCACGCGCCCAATGTGTATATCTTGGCCCTGGAGTAGTGTTTTCTGATGTCTTCCCCACGTTTTTAAGGCTTTGTTGAGATTTAGGCCTAGACTATCACTACAGATAAGTTTGATTCCCATTTTGCTCTCTCCAAGAAAATATTTTTGACATTTATTCAAGGTTTTCTAGATGTCCCTGGAGTAGTGTTTTCTGACGTTTCCCCCATGTTTTTAAGGCCTTGTTGAGATTTGGGCCTCTACATATAAGTTTGATTCCCATTATCCTCTCGCCGAGAAAATATTTTTGACATTTATTCAAAGGTTTTCTAGATGTATTTTATTTAATTGGAGTGTCTAGAACCTGGATCGTCCGGTTGGACCAGCCTCAATTATTCTATCAGACCAATATGGATCAATCAAATCGAGAGATCCAGATCAACCAAATTGACATCCCGCCAAATTTAAAATAATAAAAATGTAAATGAAACAAATTGCATGAATCCATAATGAACATGTTTATACTTCAATATTCAAATGAAAAATACACATTGTACATAAGGATTTGGGTCGCAATAGGGCCAATTCTTAACTCATCAAGAAATCAGCATGGTCACCTTTGATTTCGATCTGGATCGGCAATTTCTAAGATAAGGGGATCTGTATTGGCAAGTGCCTTATAGTTCCCATTTCGATCCGGATCAGTGATTTCATGAACAATAAGATTTTGAATTTTTGGCATCTATAAATAAGTATTTGCCGTATTACAAGCTCAATGTTATGGTTTTGTTTTTTATATTAAAGAAGCTGGTGTGGGTCGGCTATGGCCATAAAAAGCGTGAGACCGAGTTTTCATCAAATAAGCCCCGGACTTGTTCTACTCTCATTTGTTTTTCATTTTGCTTTTTCTCTCCCTACACACAATGGAGTCTCTATAAAGCCTAGGCTTTTATGAAAAGCAAATAAAACTCCACCTCAAATCTATGAACTTTCCGCAATGAAAATCTCTATGATGGCTTTAGGGCAACAACAAAATTTGAAACTAAAAAAATTACCAATTTTGTGGATTTAAGAACACTTATTTTTAAGATAAAATAGACAGTCTAGATAACTTGTTATAATATACCTTATTTTTAAGCTTGAAATCCTAAATTTCCTTCACTAACCATTATGTTGAAGTGGAGATTTGATTTGTAATTTTCGATGAATTATGAGGTGAGGCTTTACTTAGAGCTGCGGCCCTTTAAAAGCAATTTTCTTAAAATAAAAAAAAAAAACCGTCTCTCTCCTCGTGTCCCGCGATTATTTCGGGTTGCTTCTTCATCGTGGCCCTTATTCTTCGTAGCAGGTGTAGAAACTACAAATTTTTCTTTCGAATTTCGATTCTCCCATCTCTCCTCATCCCCACTTTCTCTCTCTAGAAGACTTGATTCTATCCCAAACAGTTTCTCTACAGGAGGATCATTTGTCCTTGCAATCACTCTCTCTCTCTAAAAACTTGAGAGCAGTCCCCGACCCTCTCTCTTCAGGCAGATCATCTGTTGTTGCACTCCCTCTCTCTATAAACTGGAAAATATTCCCCAACTCTCGATCTCCTGAGTTAGATGATTTGTTCTTGCAGTCTCTCTCTCTCCAACAGTCCAAGTCTCTTTAAGTATTGAGTTTGTTGAGGAAATGGGTCTTCTTTCTCTCTCCTGAAATTGTTTTAAAAAATGGCTCTGCATCAGAGGATAATAGTGGTGGTGGAGGATGAGGAGGTAGCAAGAACTGCTCTCCAATGGGCTGTTCACAATATATTCCGAAATGGCGATTTCATAACTCTCCTCCATGTTTTTCAACCCACCACCTCTCTTCTCCCCAAAAACACCATCACCCCAAGTAATCACAATCTCTTTTCGCCCCATTTCTCAATTCACTCATGTCTTTCTTACACTCTCTCTAACTTTCTCTCTCTAACCAGGTGCCAAGAAGAGAAGCAAGGTGTCTGCAAGCGCAAAAGAGAGAGAGAGGCTCACGAGATTAAAGGGTTTTCAGCTCGCTCTCTCTTTCAAGGATCTCTGTAACAAAATTCCTGAGGTGAACGTTTTTTTCAGAGAACAAAATTCACAAATCATGATTAGAAATTGAATGAATATATATTTTTTATTTGATTTTCAGGCGAAGGTGGATATAATAGTAACAGAAGGGGAAGAAGGACCCACGATTGCTTCCTTGGCCAAAGAGATCGGAGCTTCAGCCCTTATTTTAGGCCTCCACGATGGCAGCTTCCTCTACAGGTATATGCATGTGCCTTCATATCTCTACAAATCAAAACACCCTTCTCTCTCTGAACAATCACAGCGTATATCTTCACTGCTTATGAACCCAACACCCCATGTAATCAGAAAGCCCACCCCTCTCTCTCTCTCTCAAATGGTCGGTTCCCATACTGCTCCTTACCCAACCGTGGGTGGGTGAGTTTTGAGGAGAGAGGAATTGAATGGAAGAATTTTTTGGCGACAGGGCGAGGTGGGGAGATGAGCAGTTGAATTGTCGGGTTCTTGCTATAAAGCAGCAGCACCGTCATCTTCCCGAGAAAGGTTTCTCCCATGTTCAGGTTGTGAGGTAACCAATACTACCTACCTCACGTCTCTTCTTCTTTTATTTTCCTTTTTTTTTTGTTTTTTTTTTTTTTTTTAAAAAATTTTATTTTTTTTAAATAACCCTCTAGGTCCTCCACGTCCAACAAAAAAGGATGTTGAGTCCTTCCTTAATTTTTTTTTTTTTTATGTTCAAATTATAGAATTTATTTCATCTTTTTTTTTTTTTAATAACCTCACATTAGAATCGAGTTTGTAATTTATAATGCCCTTTTTATCGTACTTGTGATGTTCACGATATATATAAAAGCATTTAGGGATGGTTGTTAGAGTAAGAGGGAGGAAGAGGTCCACATGTGAGAAAGAAAGAGAAAGAGAGTGAGGGCTTTAGGGGGACTTAGATAATATGGGTGATTTAAGTAAAAAAAGAAGAAAGAAAGTAAATTCTATAATTTGGACAATATAAAAAGTAGGAAGGGAATTAAATGTACTTTTTTGTTTAATTTCAGGAGTTCCATAGGATAGTTATCGGACCAAGGGATTATTTGGAATTATAATTTTATAAAGGGGCCGTGAGTGCCAAGCTTGGTGGGTTGAGCCTAAGCTTAGACATTAAAGCAGGGATACCCCTAGGGCTGGTTCAATATAGATGTCTATGTTTATGTCGTTAAGGGAGAGAGATCTTAGGGTTTTTGTTAGGACATTATTTTTATTATTTTCCAATAGGGAAAAGTTTATATGGGTGTCAACCTTATGTATTGAGAAGTAAGGTATACTTTAAAAACCTTTTTGAAAAAGGTTGTTTCGATTTTAAAAAATCCTTAACATGTCGACCTCGAAATGTGTGAACATGAAAAAAAAAAAAAAAAAAAAGATTTTAAGTCATCAAAGTAGTGTATCTTGTAATGCATTATTGGATCTTTTCTTTTTAAAAAAATTAAGTGTTTATAGATCTGCTCTATCGGCATCATTTTTAAAGTTTTAAATTTTATAATTGAAAAAAATAATATATTTTCCTGCCATCGCAAGGCTTTCCAGCACCGAAACTACATCTTGTAACACAATTTTGAGGTGCATCGAACTTCAATAGCATGAGGTTGACACCTTCTTGAAAACCTTTATTATCAAAACCATGAGATTTTGGGATATTTGATACCTTAAACATAGTTATACCCGTCGTCCCTTTAATCCTGCCAAAAATAACTTTCTCACCCTTTATTGGAGCTGTAGTCCCTCCAATAAAATTAAAAATCAACGGTTTAAAAATTTTTCTAAAAAAATTTATCATTTGAATTTTAAAAATTTATATATTAATGATATCTATGTTAGAGATTATATATACCTAAAAAATTAAGACCAAAATCCATCTAAAAAATAATTGAATCTTGCGTTTATTTTTGTGCCTTAGCTTGTCAGAGCCCAAAGGCTTGTCGCAAACGCTGCCCGGTCCCCTCAAAACCATTTGGAAATCAAGGAAGGCCCTCTGATGGAGGATTTTGAGCCAATGCAATGGTCACAATACATCCGCAAAATTACAATCTGAGCTGGCCGAGCGATTTGGATAAATGGAATGGTTAGGAGTGAGATTAAGAAGTTAATTGACTTTGATTAATCTCAAAGGATTATTAAAAGAGGAAGATAAGGGGGAGAGCTTTCACATGACGTTGGTCGTTACGATGGTTGTATGTGGCTAAGTCAGATTTTGTGGTCCATGGCCCCCTCTCACCTGCTCCTCATCTGAATTTATTATAAAATGTATGTTTTATTTTATTTAATTAACCTGCTTTCTCATTTAATAAGTTCAATGAGAATTGAGTGGCTCATGTGTGGCCATTAATGTGCACGTCCTCTTGTATGGCAAGCAAGAATGTGAGAGCTTCACATGAAAATATGTTCTTCTTTTTTTCTTTTATTTTATCTTTCATCTGGTGCTCAAAGAAAAATCTAGAATAAGATTATTTATCTTTGGTATAAAATGGTTAAAGTTATATTTAAGTGTTAAATGTGAAATTGAGTAATTGGAGATGGACGGTCTCATTATATTCGTTTCTAATTTTTGAACTTGGTAATATTACTTTTCTTTAGGCTTTGAACATAAAGAATGGCGTGTTTTTTCAATTTCTGGTTCTGGCTAAATATGGAATTTAATTGAATATCATAATTGTAAAGGCGTTTTGATGAGGCGCAGGGAGGCATGGACATACTAAGTCCCCCTCATAAAATTCATTTTAGAGATGGATTTTGGATCCAGTACTTTATTATTACCTCTAATGAATGCCAAAAGAAAAATAAGAAAAATTGTACTAAGCCTTAAAAATGATCCAGCTTGCCCTTTATTTTTAAACAATGTATTTCATTTCTTCAAAAATGATCAGATCATTAGGTTTATGGAGCCCCAAGTTTTGGATAGGAGACAAATTATGGATTTTAAGATCCCTTTCAAATCTAAGGGTGGCAATGGGCCTGGTGGCCTAGTTCTAAAAACTAGGGCCAGACTGGGCCTTAGCGCGGGCCACGACAGGGCTGGTCCACTTTGGCCCTCTTTTTCTCTATTTTTTCTTTTTGATATTTTTATTCTATTTAGTCCGACCCGACCCGACCAGTACACATAATCATAGGGTATATGATGGCAAAAAAGTAGAAGCTCATGGACATAAGGTGGCAATGGATTTGACCATTACAAAAGATAAATAATCTCTTTGTCGACAATCCTAAAGTTTATATAACGTTGACATTTTAAAACACAGAATTAAGATGCACCTCTAAAATCCTTCTAAGAAGGTTGTTTTGATGACGGAAAAAACATCTAACTGAACATATCGACATCGAGATCTAAAAAAAAGAGATTTCAAGTCCTAAAAATAATACATTTTGCAACATAATATGTGGACTGCCATTTTCAATATTATCATGTGTTTATAGATCTACTTGATTTGAGCCATTTTTGGATTTAAATTTTATAATTAAAGATAAAAATAGATTATTGTACCATCTTAAAAATCTTTGACACCAAAATTGTATTTCATGATATTCATCTATAATTATAGAATTTAAAGCTTCAAAAATAGTGTAGATCACTACTTGAAAATTAATGGTCTAGATAATGCATTACAAGATGCACTATTCCAAGACTTGAGTCCCTTGATTTTTATTTTTCTATTTATGTCCATATATCCGAAGGTTGATGTGGTTTATTTATTTTTGGGATGCGTCTTAGTTTGATTGTTTAGGGCTCAACCATGTATAAGCTTTTTGCATGGCTTACACATATTGGCATGCACCTTCTTTAGCGGGCTCCACTTAATCTATGTTCTTATAAGGATTTCACTTGCTTTGGCACCCTACTCTTTCTCTTGCCACTTAAGAGCCGACTCGTGCCTCTCTCTCACTAGCATTGTGACTTTGGCTCGAGTCGCGTTGGTTCACTCTCTCTCTCACTAGCATTGTGACTTTGGCTCGAGTCACGTTGGTTCACTCTCGCTCTCTCTCTCACTAGCGTTGTGACTTTGGCTCGAGTCACGTTGGTTCACTCTCTCTCTCTCTCTCTCTCACTAGCATTGTGACTTGGGCTCGAGTCACGTTGGTTCACTCTCTCTCATTGCATTGCTTTGCAAAGAAGCAGTTAGTCGGCCCACACACTCAACAACTTTCTGGCTGGCTGCCTGCCTACCGGCTCCTTCACGCGCAAGCAATTATGTCCCAACCACTCTCTCTCTCTCTCTAAAACCTTGCTCGCTCGGCTTGCATCCCTTCATTATTTGACATTTAAACGAGCGGCAGTTGCAATGGATGCGGACCCTAGGGGTCTAAATCTTCGGATTTGGGTCCGGTCTGGTCGGGTCTAAGTCTGCTTCGTAACTTGTAATGTTTTTCCCTCCTAATATATAAAAGGTGTGGTTTTTATAGAGCTGAGGCTCTAAACAAGCAAAATAAAACACACCTTTAAATAGTATCGAGAAATGTGGTTTATATACTGGAAATCAATCTTTGTGATAGCTTTAAAATATATTTTTCATCACTAATTACAAAATTTAAAGCTTAAAAAATAGTGTAGATCCACCAGATATATGAAAATCTTGAAAATTGACGTTCCAAAAATTAATTACAAGATGCACTATTTCCAAAATTTGGAATCTATTTTTTTCTCATGTCTATGCATCTTGAAGTCGAGATGATCAATTTGATGGAATTTGGGCATCAAAATAACCTCTTGTAGTGAAAATTTTGAGGTGCGTCCTAA